ATTAGCCATATGGAATCCTGTCCTGAAGACCCGCAGCTTCTTTTCCCGCTAGCTCGTTTGTTGGAGGCTGAATTATTAGTAGAAAATCTTCATTCCCTTAAAAATCTAGTTCACAGTAGCTATGTGGAACCTTGTCCTGAAGGCCCTTGGCTTCTTCTGCCTGGATGGGAGGAGCAGAGCGAAAATTAACAAGAAAGAAGGTGGAGTTAAGAGCCAGAGAAAACTGGGCCTCTTTTTAAAAAAAAAGGGTGAAAAGGAAATATTACCAAAAAAAAAAAAAAGGGAAGACAGAAGCAGGGAGAGACAGGAACTGAGAGACAGAGAGAGAAAGCTGGGGGTGCAGAGGAGGGCTCCCTACCGCTAGCTCATTTGTTGGAGGCTGAATTATTAGTAGAAAATCTTCATTCCCTTAAAAATCTAGTTCACAGTAGCCATGTGGAACCTTGTCCTAAAGGCCCGTGGCTTCTTCTGCCTCTATTTTTTTAATTTTTAAAAATTTATTTATAAGGGAAGGAACTGGCCGTTGGGATAATAGTTATCACTAGACTTCTACAGAGTTCACTGCAGTTCGAGTCCAGAACCCAGTGGCCTGAAACTCACACTGGGCACATGTGTGTGCATGCCCAAAATGAAGGAGAAGGGATTGCAATGTGGCCATCCCCCTGGGGGGGTGATTTCTCTCTTTTTGTCTCTCTGGTGAGCACATGTGTCCTATAGTGAAAATCTTTCAAAAAAGAAAAAAAATTAAGGGGGAAAAAACTCCACTTCAGAGAAACAATGTTTTAATGATTTGTTAAGAAAATTGGTGCCATCCTGCCAAGTTTACAAATTATAGAAACAAAAATCATGTTTATTCTGTAGTCTTAATCCTACCTTTCAAAATTAAAATAAGTGTAACCACTAGATAACCAAAAACATATCATAATCTATGTTTCAGTACTTGGTTAAAAATATCTTACTGATTTACAACTCATGGATACCCCTTCAAAATAAAGAAGGAAAGAAAATGCCTTCTGACTCCCCAAAACAGTTGTTTTAGCAGTTAATGCCCTGAAGTCTAAAAATATAATACAACAAAACAAATAAATAACCTCCTAATAGAGACCCTGCTTCAAAGCTTATTTATCTATAGCTTTACAAACATTTTTAATGAACTGGTCATCTATTTTCCCAGGCCCCAACAAATCAAAAACAGGAAATTAGATAACAAAACAAAATAAACAAACAAAAAAACAGTCTGGGGCTGCAACAAAATAAGCACATGGATGGCAGGTCACAGCAAGAGCTAATAAGAAGCAATAAAATAGAAAAACCACACGATGAACAGGACTTACACAGCTAAGAGTAAACAGCCCCATGAATCTCAATACTTTCCCTGAGCATCTCTGTATTAAAACAGACAGATTTTTCACTGTGGTAACTCTTCGGTTCTTGAGAAAAGGTTAGGTTATATTTGGAACACTGTTTAAAGGATCGGGGTCCCAGGCAAAACACCAGAGATTTTCTTGGAACTCAAATCAATTATTGTTTAAAATTAATTTTAAATGAGCAAGAATATTTTGAAAAAGTGTCATTTGGAGGTTGTCTAGAAGAGGGGCCAGCCATATCATTTATCCAGAGATATGCTGAAGAAACAGTAATTTAGACAGTGTGGTACTAGTGTCGAAATAGACTACTGCATATCCACAATGTCAAACAGCTCAGAAATAGTCCAAAGTTAGTTTTGCCGTGTCAGTTCCAAAAATACTGCCTGGTAACAAAATCAGTTGCAATGAGATGGAGCAGACTATTGATGACAGAAATAGATGTTTTAGGAGAGACAAATGTTTAAGCCAAAACAAGAAGCAGCTTCCTTTATTACTTGAAATTGAATTGAAATAAGGCTTAATTTGGTTTCGACAGTGGAGAAATAGCTGGGTTGGAGAGAAAAAGGAAAACTAATCCAAGTGAAGTGGAGAACGCTACTCAGCTGCCAGGTTAGAAACTGGGTTAAACATATTTTGGGTGTTATTTAGTGATCTGCTGTAAATGCTTGTACACAACTCTGAGAAGGCACACACACCCACTTTCTCTTATATACACACACGATTTCAGCAGGTCATAAATGAACACCTACCTA